ACAAAGTATACTGCTGAGGGGAGCAGCGGGCGGGTCAGGAGAGGTCTGCCAGGCCATGTAGATCACCTCCGGGGCAGGCGGGGATCGAACTCTGTGAAGTGGCTTTAGCTTCTTAGTGCTGTGCTTTAACCCGCTGTGCCACCAGGGAGGGCCTGAAATACTCTTAATCTCCAAGCCCACTTTCATCTGTAACCATGGCCAACTTCCTCCTAAATAGCAGAACTTACATTCCTCTGAGAGTGTTCTGATCTCATTACCTTCCACCTTCACAAGGACCTGATTGAATGAATTATCTTCCTTACTTCCTGAATACTAAACCTCTCTCCTAGAGTCTTCCAATTCCCATTTAAACATGACTATCATTTAAATTTCCTCCCTCTCATAATTCTCTTTCATTTAGAACTACAACTCTTTTCTCCCTTTATAACCAAACTTCATACAAGAGCAAATTGTCTCCACCTCCTTACCTCCCACTGTCCACTCCAACTCCTTCAACTTGGGCAACCCAGACATCCTCTCTCTCCTTGACTTTTACATTGGCTTCCTCTCTGGCTTTCCTGTCTCTCCCCATAACCCTCAAATCAGTCTCCTGCAGTCTAAGTATACTTTAAAAAATTTAGTCATAGCATTCACCCACTTCAAACCTTTCGGCATCTTCCTGTTGATATCCAGGAAGCCATACTTCACTGGATGATGAGAGACCACATCTGGCCCCTGCCTCCATCTACCCATACCTGCATCTCTCCTTCCTGCCCTCTCCTCCCACGCACAGTACCACCTTTGTTTCCTTCTCTGCTCATCCTTTGCCCTTTCTGCTCAGCTGTGGGGTTAGTTACCTAGTTCCTGATCCTTCACATCTTAGTCCAATTGGATTCTCATATTATTTGCTCACATATCAATGTTCCCCAAATACAGCATTCAAGATGCTTTGTTTTTGCCTACTTCTTTTTCTCCTTTCCTTTATAGAGATAAAATTCACACATCATCTGGTTTACCACTTACGGCATGGAGATCAACAGATTTCAGTATAATCACAGAGTTGTACAACCACCCTCACTGTCTAATTTTAGAACATTATTATCACCATAGAAAGAAACCCCAGGCCCATTAGCAGTCACTGCCTACCCCTCCAATCCCAGGTAATCATTCATTTACTTTCTGACTGTGCAGATTTATGTATCTGGAGTTTTTAAATAATTGCGCTTGTGTAATAACTGGTCTTCTGTGATTGACTTCTTGCACTGAGCACTACATTTAGGTTTAGCTGTGTGGTGACATGTATCAAGACTTCATTCCTTCTTCATTCCAACTAACATTTCATTGTAAATGCTGCATATTTTATTCATTCATTTATCAGTTGATGGACTTTTACTATTGTAAATAATGTTGCTGTCAGTGTTTGTGCACAAGGTTTTGCAAGAATGTCTGTCTTCACTTTGCTTGGATGTGTTCCTAGCATCCTTAGGGCATATGGCACCTCCATGGGTAACGTTTGGAGGGCCTGCAGGGCTGCTGACACATAAGAGTGCCATCATGAGAGTGAATAAGGGTTTGCTCTACCCACCAGGAGGTTTACTTTGTGTATTTTAGCCACCCTAGAGGGTGTGAAGTGATATCTTACTGGGGTTTGATTAGCACTCCCCTGATGGCCAATGTCA